CTGACAAAAAAGAAAAAAATATTAGAAAACTTTCATTTATTAACATATAATTCAGTGAAAAAGCAGATATTGCAAATAAATCAGTATTTGTGAAACCAGGTATTAACCAGTAAGCAGTTTTGCCAGGTATTTGTGTAACAAAGATATAGTGGAAGACTTTTACTCATCTCAAATGCAATTTATACGATGGCTGATTAAATGTTTAACACCTTAAATGAGTTTATGACTCTTCAATAATATAGACTAGGATAATATAGATCAAATATACAGATTCAATAATATAGGAATGTATTGGTGTATTCATAAGTATAAGTGAAAATGGAGCTCGATCAACAAGTGGGAACATTTCTGGATCACAAGCTAGAATGAAAGCAATTTTGGCCATAGCTACATGGAATCACTTACAGTTGCTGCTTACATTATTCGAGACTTTTTGAACAACCTTGTAAAAATTAAGAATAGTGTTCACTATTAATTTTTTTCTCCATTGTGTAGTTCAACAGCGTTTTAGAGGTAAATGTCTCACTTCTGAGAGATAAGTGAAGATATAATTTTGAAGTAATAAATGGAAATGTATAAAAGACAGTATCTGTAACGCTGCCAATACTGTGATTGGTAAAGTAACTGAGAAACAGATTAAGGATTGATATGATATTGATTATGCCATTGATAATGATAAAAAGAATGTTGCATATAAACATATGATACAAGCACACACAAGAAATAGTGCAGAGGAGTACCATAGATGCAGAAAAGAGGTGAAGAAACTCTTTGGGCAAAAAGAAAAGGGTCTTTGATGAAGAATTGTTTAAAGATGTTGAACATCTGAAATCCATTGATGAATGCAGAGCATTCTATCGGAAAATCAACCGCAGTCAATAGGACTTTTAAACAGACCTATAGTCCATGCAAAAACAAAGTTGGTGAAATAATTAGTGATAAACAAGACATTTTAAAAAGATGGAATGAACATTTTAAAGCACTTCTTAAGGGGAGTCGNAAATACATAAAACTATACATCATTGGAAAGCTCTTGAATAGGAGATTTCAAAAATGTAAAAATCTCAGAATCGATTTTTTGAAGGTTGGGTGGGTACTGACTCCCCTTAATGAAAATTGTGAGGACGTTGAAATAATTGCACCTGAATTCATAAATGACATCGAAGTTGAGGCTCCAACTATTGAGGAGATCAGGGCTGCAATTAAAAACTTAAAGAATAAGAAGGCTTCGGGACATGATCTCATTTCAGCAGAACGACTAAAAAATTGTGAACCTACCTTATTGAGAAATTTATTTGAACTTATTACTGACATCTGGCATTCTGACATTATGCCAACGGATTGGAATATTAGCATTTTGTGCCCAATTCACAATAAAGGAGATCTTATGACTTGTGCCAAATATCGTGGCATTAGTCTTCTTTGTATAACTTATAAAATTCTATCTAGAATTTTATATCTCAGACTGCTACCATTCATTGACTCACAAATAGGAAAATATCAATGTGGATTCCTTACTGGAAAATCAACCAAAGATCAGATATTTTATCTCCGTCAGATTTTAGAGAAATCAATGGAATTTAACATTGAAACACATAATCTTTTTATTGATTTCAAGGCTGCTTTTGATAGTATCAATAGATATTATCTTTTTGAAACAATGAATACTTTTAAAATACCTTCAGAACTTATAAGTTGACAAGACCTACATTGAAAGATACAAAGTGTAAGATTAAGTTTCTGGGAAGATTAAGTTTCCGTCAGAAAATCTTGACACATTCACATTTTTACTAGATCAGTACAACTACATATGCTGATGATGTCGATATAATTGCTCGTTCCCTTCCTGCTCTGAATGAGGCATTTCTTGCCCTTGAGGTGGCTGCAAGGCAAATGGGCTTGGTCATAAATGTAGATAAAACAAAATATATGTTATTCTCAAGAAACAGAGTACCAGACCCCTATCTTGAAATAAATTCTTATAGATTTGAAACAGTGAGGAGTTTTACTTACTTAGGATCAATTATTACCATTGACAACAGAATTACTCCTGAAATAAAAAACCGACTCTATTTAGCGAATAGGGCTGTCTATGGGCTGAGAAGATTTATTAAATCTAGGTTTCTTTCTAGAAAAACAAAGTTCTTAATCTATAAAACTTTTGTCCGGCCAGTCTTGACATACGCCTCTGAAGCTTGGACAATGACAAAACTGAAGGAAAATTGTATCGCAATATTTGAGAGAAAGATTTTGCGGGGTATACTTGGTGGTGTAAATGAAAACAATAACTGGATAAGGAGATTTAACTTTGAACTGTACAAGATTTATAAACAACCTGATATTATTAAATATATAAAAATAAATAGAATGAATTGGATCGCCCACGTCATTCGAATGTGTGACGACAACACAATAAAAAAGATACTGTTTTTTAGACCCACTGGAAAAATAAAGGCCGCAGTTGAGATGGGCTGACTTAGTGGAGTCTGATTTTCTCGCAATTAATGAAAAAAATTGGAGATCAAAGATAAATCGGAAGTTGTCGTGGAGAAATCTTCAGAGGAAGGCATTGGCTCACATTGGGCTGTCTGGCTAACTATGATGATGATGATGATAATTTTGAAACATTTCCAAATCAGAAAGATTTTCTCCATTCTCATGTAAAGAAAATCTCTGATGAAAACACAATGCTTATTACACCACATTTAGTAAATCTAAAACAAAGTTTTTGTGAATATTTTCTTGTCTTCAAAAAAACAACAAATAACTGGATTAGATAATCATTTGCAGTAGAAGTGTGTGAATGGGATGGTTTTACAATAGCAGGACAGCCGATAGAAATTTCCACAGATGAAGCTTTAAATTTGATTTGCAAGAATAAGTCTCTTCCGAACTTTTGGGGTCACAAAAAGAAAATATTTTCCAAGTTGTTTACAAAAGCTCTGAAGGTTTTGATGCCCTTCACAACTACTTATTTGCGTGGAGGATTATTTTCAGCTTTTTTCTTCTAAAAAATACAAAAACTGTCTGGAAAGCGTAGAACTGGAATTGAGACCATAGATTTCAAATTTTACACCTGTTATAACAGTGTGCTTGTAAAATAAAAGCAGCAGCATCCTTCTCATAAAATTTTTAGTCAATACAGTTAAGTACAATACTTATTTAAAATTCATAATACTTTTGATTAGATGTTTATAGTTTTCATAAGGGAAAAGAAATGTTAAAAAAAATCTGTATAAGTAGCCGAAGCAGTCTCAAGATTACCGAGGAACCTTTAAATTACTTAGCCATATGTTGGGAGTCAGGGAGGTATATTCAAAATCTCACTGGATGTCAGGTTGATACGTTAATTTGGTCTGTGATGTTTGCAGGGTTGCCACAGAAGAAAATGAACAATATAGTTGCTTTTAATAGCCCAAAGCATGCAAATAGTTGCCTTAATAAGAACAAAAATACGACTAAAATTTTACTAAATGACATAATTGTCATATACCATGATCCATTTAGTCAAGTTGGTGGCAAACATGATAATTTTCATATAAACATTAGTGTTCGAGCACTAAATTTTTATATAAAAAGATTAGTATATTTGCAGAAAATTAAATACCTATAATTACTAGAAAGCATTCAAAAAAATATTTTTTCTCTAGAAAAAACATTCTTTTTCTAAAAAAATTTCAGTTAAACAAATAATTGATTTAGCAAGTATACATGTAATACAAAAATAATAAATACTTTCGTATTAATAATAACATTAAAACTCTTTCGTTTTCATAAAATGTCTTTGGTAAAGAATAGGTGTAGAAATTCTATTTTGGGACTTCAAAAACATACCATTGAAATATAATTAAATTTACTAATACTAATTAAAATACTTCAAAGGAGGAGCTATTTTTAGAATCTTGTCCCTCTTTCACTTCCATATTAGGAAGCATTAAATGATTTTCCATAATGTATAGAGTTAAAAGGCATGTACGACTGGAACCGGTTTACACCATTCTCTGTTAGTATTTAATGCGAGATCAATGGTTTTCGCATGTCTCTTACTGAATAACGCGTGCCAGTAAACATCTGCTGGAACCATCCACAGTTTTGTGCACACCCCTCCCTTGTGGAGTGGTGATGTGAACTGTTATAACCACCAGCCCACCTCTAAATAAACTTTTTTAGAACTTATTATGCCTTATGACTGCATTATTAAAGCTGAATACAACAATGGTAACAGGGATAAAGCCCTGTTACTATGTACATAATATATTGTGAAAAGTGATTATTCAAATTCAAAATTCACGCATCGTAATATCGTATAAAAAATGAGTTTTTTTTTAAAAATCATGCAGAATTTCATAGCAATAACTGTTGAAGAGGTGATCGAGAAACAAAATAAATTTACAATGAAATCTAAGCAAATGGAGCGCATTAAAAAGTGATGACTCAAATTTGCAATTCAAAATTTTTTATTTTATTTATTTATTAAGAAAAAATCTGTGTTCAGAAGCTACCGTGGGCTGCAAGTTGTCAACCCAATTTATGCTCAAAAACATCGCTAGGAGTACAGAAAAGTCTCCTTTTCCTGAAAATAGTTGCTTCTTTAGCCTTTTCATGCAAAAAAAAGTTGCCATAGTCGCCTCACGTCGAAAATAGTTGCAAATAGTCGCATTTTAGTCACCTGTTTGAAAGTTTAAGAGCCGCTGCAACTGAACATGCCTAGAAAACCTTGAATGGTCACCGAAACTGCAAATAGTACTTGTTACAGGTCAATTACATACAGTGAATGCAAAAATTCTTCACTAAGGGGTCAAGGTATAAGACTCCTTCTTTTTTAGTATTGTGGTTTAAAATTTAGTTAGAATTATTTTGAGTAATTTTAGTGTTGACTTCAGTTCAGAACTTCCCACTTAATCACATAAAAAATTTTATGTTTTTATTCTTTTGTAATGATTACAAAACAATCGACACACATTATATAAAATTGACATTAGCAGTTTTTAAACAAGATGTAAAAAAGTTATTTTCCCTTTATTAAAAAAGAAACAACATTAAAATATTTACAAATTCAAATTGCACTGTTCCATACTTTATAGTTTCAATAGAATTTGGTAAAATATAAGAAATTTTAATGATATTAATTTGAATTTTCAGAAAAAATGTCAATTCAGGATATTTATTCTATAATTCTTGGCACTCTTTCAGTGTACAATACTGAAATTTTTTATAATTTGACATAACTTCTTTATGTTTCTCATACTCGTCCTTTAATGCGTCAGATATCTTTTCAAGGTTTTCTCTCTTTTTCATCCAATCACTTGATAGATGACTTTCATATGAATTCCATAACTAAAATGTATCAAGATGAAAACATAAATGAAATATAAGTAGTTGTAAAATGCAAGTAAACAAATATATATATATATACATCATAAATTAAATAACCAATCTGTTTTTAGTTAGTTTTCTGCCTTGCTGGTTGAAAGAAATTTATTATTGGCGATCGAAATGGGCTGCAGGGGGCGTAGAGCAGAACTCTTTTCCTATGGCAACACTTCACATGCTTTCCCCATTAGCGTGTGGAAAGTCATAGAGGAAGGAAGTACGTTAGTTTCTCTCTTGATTTTCATATAGATTGAAATCTCTTAACTTGAAAAACTATATGGAACTGAAAACTACATTAAACATAGTTCTAAAGAAAACTATTATGGAAATTTTAAGAAATATTTTTATTAAATAAAAAGGAAAAATATTAAGAAAAGGGAAAATATCGTAGTACATTCCTATACAACTGAAAAGAGGAGGAGAGGGATGGGAGAAGGGCTAAAGGCATGAAACCGGTCTCTCCCCAGATGGCGTATTCGAGTGTTGCGATCGCGAATTAGTACCTGACTTAATTTGATTTTTACAGATTCATTAACATTTTGAAATCCAACAAAAAATGTTTACAATTTACATTATTTAAGTTTGTGAAACAGAGGAAAAACGAGAAAAGAATAAAGGAAATAAAAATTCAAAAAGCGGGGATTAAATGCTTTGTTTTTCAAGTGACTACAGTGAATAGACTGCTTTTGCCTTGCTTGATAGGAGAAAAATATGACTATATGCTCATGCACCAGCAGCATTCTTGTTCACCAGATATTGTTGTTTAATGAAGCCTTAATTCATTACATTAAAAAAATGCAGACATCAAAGTTGGAATTTTTGTGAAGCTTGAAATAAGCTATCAACAGACACAAATGGAATTATAGTAGAAACTACTTATAATGAGCCCACATTCAATGAGATTCCACTTTTAACAAGCAAAATGGAATGTTTTGTTTGCAACAATGCTGTGCATGTTTTAGAATGTAATCTTTTTGCAAGCCTTTTTTTCCCTTTTTCTGATTTAACCACGTAAATAATTTTGAAATCATAGAGTAGCACAGTACATTATTAATAATTTAAAATAATTGTAGGTATTTTGTACATAAATGTTGTTTCAGTATCATTTAGAAATAGTTGCATCATTTTTAAAGCTATCAACATCAGGTACAACCTTCAAAGAAAGAGGAAATGCCACCTAGACTGGGCACCAAGTCAGATCGTTGTTGCATTTCTTCAAAATAAGGCAATAATTTTGAGAGGACTTAAATAGTCTCAGGCAAGTATACCTGAGAGGTTTCAGAAGTATTTCCGGTTACAGAGTCAAATAAAATAAAAGCTCTTTCCAACCCTTACCTAATCTAGAATGCCTACTTTTTATTTTGTTGTTGAAACGCGAAATGAAAATTTTTTATTTTTACCCACAAAATAAAAATGGAATGTAAAACTCTTGCATAGGAGAGCAAAAATAAAATTATTGTAATTAAAATAAGTAGCATAAAGAAATGTGATTAAAATATGCAAAATGAAGCGATTCATGAAAGTTGGATGCTCCATTTTTTTGCACTAATCCAGAATGTTTAGCAGCTGGGAACTTCTAAAAAAAGGGACCAAGGATCCAAATATTTTGAAAAAAGGAAAAAAAAAATTTAAAAGCTGTTCATATTGCGATAGTCATACCACCATAGTGATACTCAATATTTATTATATAGATATACCAAATCAAAGTTATGCATGAACAATGATTTGCATTGACTTGGGATCTGCAAAAAATTGATTAATGAAAAACTATACCTTTGTATTGAAGTGATTCAAATTTTCATGAAAATAAATATAAAATGGCACATAAGTTATTAAAATTAAATTATACTGCTAAATGTGAGATAATTTTGTAGATTTGACTTTAAATGATTATAACTTAGTAACCCAGAAATTTTTTTTTTTGAAAATGGGCAATAAACAATGAATCATCTGTTTCATTTCTCAGTTCATCAGTTAAATAATTTGCTTTATCTAATTAGCAGAAAAAATATTAGACACACATTTGAACAAATATATTTAAGTTTTTTTTTTTTTGAGATGTAACACTTTTTTTAATTTTTTTTTTACAATTTTATTTTTGACATCATCATAACTTTCTTTCATTTTATCGGTTTGCTTCAAATCTTCTAATTAGGTCTTGTTGCTTTGGTGAGCATTTGAGACTAAAAAAAATTAATTCCTTTTCAACAAAAACTAAGTAAAGTTTAATTGTCAAATTTTTTTCATTCCTGAAAAAAAAAACCAAAAAACATCAAGATGTGCATTAAACCTTTTTTCTGACATGGCAGTTTTGTTGGATATTGAAACATTACCAAAGGAGGAGAACTCTTGTTTAATTGTAGCACTGCCATGTGATAAGGCTACTGTGATCTACACTACTTGACCAAAAACAGTAAACTTAACTTCACTAGTTGTATTTTTGACAGAATAATTTCCGACTAATACTGGTTAAAAGAACTAATTTTACTAAGTTCTTCCACTTTAAAAATCCTTCACACATCAGAAAGGCAGCAAATGTCCAACGATAATGGTAAAGCTTTGGAATAATTTGGGACTCTCTGGAAGTCAACTAAAAATTGTCTTTGTCCAAATAGTCGGGATTAGATAAAATGATCCCTGGTATTTTTAACTGCCTGTTAAGAATTGTATATCCTGTCATATAAAACTCCTAAGAAACCACGCAAAATTGTTTTTGATATTGTACCTTTATTTTGGACAATTCATTACTTTGCTTCAAGCAGTACTTAAGTTCTGTTAATGGCAATAATTTACCTTCCACGCCTACAAACTATCTTCAGAAATTACATATATCTTACTCTTAAGTTTTAAAAGCATTTCTTTAGCAGGGGTGATAGTGAGTCCAAGTCAAAATTCTGGAAAATTTCTTGGGTTAAAAAAAAAAAAAAAAAAAAAAAAAAAGTTTAAATTGAAAAATTAGAAGAAAAAAATTTAAACAAGGTTTTTTCTTCCTTTTTCTCAATATTTCTTAGCTTACTTAAAATTTTACACATACCTATACCATTTATACATACCTATGATGACCTGGAGAAGTAATTAAAATTTACAAATATGTCTTTCTTTCTTGAGTTTATGATTATAATAACTATTAACTGATAAAAAAAAAGAATATTAATCATGAATATAAGCTTATAAAGTATCTGGCTCTCCCTTACAAACAAATAAAATAGTGTTTTTAAGTTCCACCTTTGAAAATTTGATTTCCGGAAACTTCCGGATCACTGTCAGCGAAAAATCCGCCGGAGCACAATCAGCCCTACTTTAGCATCAAACAATTTATGTACTATTGCTACATCTTTGTGAAATATTTTCAAATAATTCTAAAAAAAGTAGCACTGTCTATTATAAAAAGTAATTTTAACTTATTGTCAGATTTTAGAAGCTTTGCAATACTGATACTGGCCAGATTGTAGCTGAATGTAGTTAGATTGCAAAGGAAAATTTTTTAGACAGTACTCAATGACTACTGCCCATTGCTCAAGAATTCTTGCAGCAGCCAGTCCTAGAGTCAGCAGTCAAAAATAAACTAAAAAATTTGCAGTCCCATCATCATTTTGTCACCCATTGCTTCTAATACTTTTTGAATGACAATATGAACTTTGTGTACAACCCAATGTTGATTAGCGACTTCTTTCATACAGTCACAAAATTTATGTTCATCAATTTAATTACTATTTTTTTGTTAACATTTGGACCATCCTAACTCATTATAAACATATTTTTAAGGGGCAAGTTAGCATTTGATAATGCTACTAAGCTTTGATCATACAAAATTTTGCCATTTGCTTGGCCTAAGTTTGAATAATTGCAAAAACGCTTGGATGTGCTTCTGCACAAGTTTATATACAGTGCTGGTCCAGGGGCAAATTGCTCCGAAAACCAATTTTGCAAGAATTTACTCAATAAACACAAATTCCTCCAAACTGGAAATTGTATAATACCTCACCTGTTTGATAAAAGAATGAAATTTGAAAATTGACACCAGCATAGACTGGTTGTTTGAAAAAACTTTTTTTAAAAAAGGACTTTAAGGACCAAATGATACAAAAAGGTGAGAAAAGCCCCCCCCTCAAAAGGTACTTTAAGGGACCAACTCTAAACGAACTAGAAAATAAGTTTTTCTGAAAATTATATTAAAATTTTAATATTATCAAGCACTAATCAGAAACAATATTGCTTACTACTTGACAGGGATGAATAGGAGGATTCTATGAAATGATATAACCACTGAGGATTTATTTTTATTATCGTAATTTTTTACTTATGAAACAATTACAACGATTTTTAAAAACTTTACAACAATTCAGTCTACTGAAAAGTAAATATTTTTATGCTACTTAAGTTCATATACTTAACAATAAATGTATATTTTAAGTATTTTTTAAAGTTGCTTTTTATGTATTTAACTTGATTTCTGAGAATATGAAACAAAATTAAGGCTTTATGTATTTATTAATAATATTTCTTATTTTAAAGTACTTATTGTTATTATAGTCACGTGTTATTATTTAGTACTTATTATTACAGCTTTTTTTCTGATATGTCAAACAAGTACAGCTTGCTAGTCTCACATTTTATTAAATTAGATTATACTTAATATGGCAGTTCTTCAATCATAGGGTTTTAAACATCGAATTTTAAGATCATTTGATATGTACACAGGACTTGAAATTGAAACAAACAGTATATTAAAAAAAACATTAAAAGTCTAATTGCCAACCTTTTTAGCCCCCGATTTAAATTTTTTTGTAGCCTCCAGTTCTTCTTTTCTTTCCTTAACACGTTTTACCAGGTTTTGTTTACTCCGAACAAGTGATTTACTTGTTAATTGAAGTTCTTTTATCAAACTGAAAAGTTTTTCTTCCATTTCATGTTCTGAAAAAAAATTTACATCTTCAATTTTTATTTATATTTATAACATGAATATTCATTTTTATTAGAAACAACAATTATTCTATATTAAAATTTTAGTTATGGACCTATTATATAACCATGCAGCAACAAATTTCAGTATAAAGTGAAGTTGGAATAACTCCACACATTCTTAACAAAAATATGATGTGATATATCATATATAGTGTAATTTATCACTCAAATTATTTATCAAAGGTTACTCATAATAGACCTGTTACCTAATTATTTTCAGTACATAAATGACTATAGAGTGAATCAAAAAAGTTGCTGAAATTATAGTTAACAGTAGTATTAGAAAAATATGTCACACAGTATCTTTATCTCACATAGCATAGTTTAGTATCCCACATAATATCTTTATAGTAAACAAACTAATTTATTGTATAGCTAATTTTTTTTTCCATTCAGGATCAGGGCTATTGAATGCTACATCATATTGTGTCTTTTTGCATAATTGTATGAGAAAGATGTATTTTTAAACCAGATGTAATCATAATGGTTAACTTTTTGCTAAGTGAGTGTTTAACTATACCCAGCAAACACAATAGGTCGGTAGCTTTGCGGCTCTAGGAAAGTCGGCTATATTGGCAACTGTTGATTATCGGACAACCTTATGTCAGTAGTTTATTGGTATAAAGTTTGTCATATCAGACTCGGGCTATTAATGGGAGTTTTATGTCAGACCAATAATGCATTACACATATTGAATTTGCTGCCTTGTAATTTTGAACCAAATACAGAAGAGAAGGAATCTCCTGGATCAAAAGTATTGGGAGGAGTTTCGCCTAAATGGAGGACTTTTTGATGGAACTAACCCGCATTTGTGTTGCCTTGAAGAGGAAAACCTTTCAAGGTCAGTCTGAGAGCAAGGGGACCCATGATCTGTTTACCACTGAGGATATTTTACATCAGCATTGTGCTTGGTGAGAGCCGGGTGTAGAATTCGAATTGACTAGACATTGCTGGGATTCGAACCAGCAACACCTCATTGGGAAGCAAGCACACTTAATAATGAAAGAAACTGATGAATAATAATGTGAACAATGGATAGCTGTATGAACCCTATTCAAAATACCAAAGAAGTGTCTTTCTTTGCATTTGTTAGGTTTCAAAAATAGTTTGCTTCCTTCCCAGATAGTGGAATCTCTTTCTGAGAATTGAAAAAGGTTAAAGAAAAAAAAAAGCTTGTTGAACTGTTCAGATAATATGTTTTGTTAGGAGACTTTTTATTCAATAAAAAGAATACTTTACTTCCCTTCTAAAATAAAAATTTAATTTTAAGATAATTTTGTTTGTAGAGATGAATTTCAGGTCGGAGGGGAGACACCAGACCAAGAGGAACACCCTGGTCCTCCAGGTTAGGGGTTTGGTGTGGGGCCAACTACCCCCACTGTAAAAAACTTCCAGTTCAGAAACCTCAACAATATGTGGAAACCGGCAGGACTCTATCTAAACAACTTGGAACGGAAAAGGACTTGAAAATTGGCACTTGGAATGTTCGCACCCTGTATAGAGGAGGTGCCCTGAAAAACTTAATTGAAGTACTTGTCAACTATGATATTGATATCCTAGCATCCAGGAGATCAGATGGCTGGGACAAGGTATTTTGGATAGGAAGGATTGCAGAGTTTACTATAGCTGCCAAGAAAAATCTCACCAGTTTGGTGTCAGATTCATCGTAAGCAAAAAAACTAAGAAACTTAGTTATTGATTTTCAGGCCATAAGCATGAGGATCTGCAAAATCAGAATCAGGGGAAGACATTACAATATCACATTGATCTGCACCCATGCACCAATAGAAGGCAAAGACGAGGAGGAAAAGGATATATTTTATGACCTACTTATGAAGTGTTAAGATTCATGCCCTGTCATGCTTCTGCTGAAAGCCTACACCCTGAGACTAATAGAAGCGGACAGAGACTTTTTGATTTTGCTGTTTCAGAGAATATGTTTATATCCAGTATAGCATTCCCACATAAGAAAATACACAAGTACACCTGGCGATTCCCAGACGGTTTAACCTTTAATCAAATAGACCATGTACTTGTAGATACAAGACATTGTAGCAATTTGTCAGATGCGAGAAGCTACAGAGGAGCAAATGTAGACACCGACCATATTCTGGTCATCTCCAAAGTTAGACTTAGGTTATGTAAGAAATTTTATTCTAAGAGGGAAAACACCATTCCTAAACTAGACATCGCTAAATTAAATGATCCCAGCATCCTTAAAGAATTCAAGTGCAAACTATCTAGATCCATTGAACTGGAAAAAGAAAATTCAAATAGCATCTTCGATTGGAACTCAGTTAAGGAAATCATTTTAAAATCAGCATGTGAAACCATTCCATGCTTAGAATGTAGTACCAGAAGAGAGTGGTTTGATGACGATTGCAGGAAAATTACTGAGGAAAAGAACAAAGCCTACAGACTGATTATACAAAAACATTATATCAGAAGTTATGAGGAAAAATACAGGGATCTGAGGAAAAGGGAAAAGAAATTACATAAAGAAAAGAAAAGAGCATATCTAGAGGAATATTTGAGAAAGGAGACCAACTTGAATGTCGTAACTATAGGGGCATTACACTCCTCAATGTGGCATATAAAATATTCTCCAACCTGCTTTTTGCAAGACTTCTCCCTTTTACCAACAAAATAATTGGAGACTACCAATGTGGTTTTAGATCACAAAGATCTACTACAAATCAAATTCACACTCTAAAACAAATTTTAGAAAAAACTAAGGAATATAATATCAAAACTTTTCATTTATTTATAGACTTTAAAGCTGCTTATGACAGCTTTAAGAGAGATAAACTACAGGAAGCAATGGCCGAATTTGGGATCCCTACTAAACTCATTAAGTTAATTAGCGCTACACTAAGTAATATAGGACGCAGGGTTAAAATTCAAAATCAATTATCAGAACCATTTTCAACAGAGAGAGGCCTGTCTACTCTTTAATCTAGCTCTGGAGAAATGTATCAGAGATAGTGGATTAGACCGAAAAGGCACCCTTTGGAATAGTTCAGTTCAATTACTGGCATATGCATCAATGTCATAGGAAGGCCAGAGAGAGCTGTGAGAGAGGCCTTTCAGGCTCTTGAAACTTCTACCACAAATATAGGCCTTACCATCAATGAAGATAAAAGTAAATTTATGGAATCTCCAGCCACAACTGTAAATCATGATCCTTTATTCATAAATGGTTACACCTTTGAAAAGGTTAATGAATTCAAATACCTTGGAACAATGATCAATGACCAAAACAGCATAAAAACAGAAGTAGGTAACAGCATTAAAATAGTAAACAAGTGTTTTTTTGGACTGAGAAAGCAATTAAGATCAAGCCTAATCAGTCAAAAAACTAAAATTAAAATTTACAAAACTCTTATTCTACCTGTATTGCTCTATGCAAGTGAAACATGGACACTAAACGCAGACACTCAGCGTACTCTTGGTGTTTTTGGAAGGAAAATCCTTAGAAATATTTTTGGCCCGGTACAGGAAAGAGGCTGTTGGCGAATCAGATACAATTTTGAATTATATAGACTCTATGGACAGATACAGATAGTCTAAAAGCATCTGTTTCAGTTATAAGTTGAAATTCAGCTCGTGTTTCAAACCTATAGTTTTAGTTTTAATTGCTAATATTATGTTATCTAAACAATCGATTACGGGGGAAAATGACTAAAGTTTGAGTTTTAATGTCTCTTATATATTATTTAAGAGTATATTTTCGTTAAAATTGACGTCGGAGGTTTACACACGCGCATTTAATTGCGAAATCGGCACGGCGAATTCGAAACTTTAATAATTCTATCAATTTAAGTAAGGTATCTAAAATACGAACCCTTCAGTAGTCGGATTTTCAAGGTTGCACTGTATATATAAATCAAAAAACAAACAAAATTAATATATTGTAAAAGTGTATATAAATTTCTTGTTCACTTAACATTTACTAAGAGCTTGGTATCTAACTATCTTGGTAATTAACTTTTTGATCTTGTTTAGAAATATTTAGAAATAAGCCAAATTTCTCAAAAAATTTACCAAGATTTGGATAAAAAACATAAATTTAAATTAGAAATAACTAGAATTGAATTAAAATAAGCAAAATAGAAGCATTTTCTATATAAAATATCAAGATTTGTATCAACAAATTTATATATTAAGAATATGTTTGACACACACGCTCGACTGACACAAAATTTAACTTTATGGTTTTTCTCTTGCATTTACTTTTTTAGAATATTGGCTTTTTTGTTGGATAGTTTCTTGAATCATAAACCTGTATAGAAAATATCCTCCTAGGAAAATATGGAGTTCATTCTATTCAATGTCAAACAAGTGATTTTTCGGCTGCTCACTTTTCTTATCACCTTTAGCAAAAACTTTTACTAAGAGAACTTTAACCATAAAAAAAGTTAGCTTAAGAATATATAGTTAATTAGAAAATAACATAAAAATATATTCTTAAAGCAAACAATATTTAAAAAAAAAAGGAATAAATAAATAATTTACAGAATTACTGAACATTAAATCTGAGTTTCTTTCGGTGTCCTCTTTACCTGGTCCTCGGTGTGATCGCCAGCCTTGACTAAATCTTCTGCTGGGAAAAATTAAATTACTTTCCAAACAACCCAATATTATTTGAATAAGAGCCACAAAAATGTCTGATTGCTAAAAACATGTTGATATACAGATGCAGGGCTCAGCACACGTCTTTGCAAATAAAGTGACAAAATTGTTTTAAAAAGTTATAGTGACTGCCATAAAAACAACAATGTAAACATCCTGCAACATTTAAATAGCCTTAAAAATATAAGAGGTAAAATAAAAAAATTGGTCTAGAAACATTTATTGCTGTAGATATCAAGCATAATTGTGGATTTTATTTTAATTTATTTAACGGCTACTGAATTTTTAAAAAAAAAATCTTTTAAATAAATATTTTC